AACATAGGCTACTATGTACAATGTGCGTACGATGACGCGTTATCGTCGTATCACTTCCGTCGCGATGAAGACTCTATAGCGTGGTCGCGCGACAACTCAACGATTTGGCGCATCGCGTGAAAAATATCGTATCCGCCAACGTGCCCATGGAAACGTTATCTAAACAGCAATGGAAGGCGTACCGTAGCGCGACACGTTGTCACATCTGTGAGAAACCATTCGCGCTGGACGACATGCGAGTCCGCGATCATTGTCATTTCACCGGTAGATACCGTGGTTCAGCGCATTCGAATTGTAATTTAAATTATAAAAATTCGTTTTATATTCTAATCATATTTCACAATTTATTAGGCTACGACGCATTTTATAATTAAGGAAATTCACCACATTCATTTACTATATAGAATGTGACGATGTTTACGAGACTATAAAACGCTAGATTCGACACGAGTGATTATTCGGCAGACAACGTGTACGGTATACCTCTCGCGAACAAAAAAGTACTCGGCCTGATGAAGGATGAGAACAACGGTATATTAATGACCGAATTTGTTGGACTTAGAGCGAAGATGTACGCAGTGAGAGTGGGTGGCAAGAAGGACATTAAAAAGGCGAAAGGCGTAAAGAATAACGTCATAGCGCGAACGATAACGTTCGACGATTACACGCGGTATTTGAACGAAGAGATTGAAATGACTCGCCATTAATCGTGTATACGATCTAAATTACACGAGATGTACACGATATTCGAATCGAAAATCGCTCTGAGTCCATACGACGACAAACGAAACGTCGTACCGGACTCGACGGAGACGTTATCGTGGGAGCATTGGTGGATACCTTTGTAATACAATATTGTATTGTAACGTGACGTTTTTCGTCCATCACAAGGGCCGCATGGCCTGACCGAACAGTGCAGTCTAGCGTTCTGAGTCCTCTCACATTTTGGAGGGCGGACGCACCTGCGCTTTTTTTTCCGCGACATTGTTTGCGTACCTTACGCGTTTCGCGTCGCCGTTTTCGTTTTCCCTTTTCTGTGTATTCCCGTACCGAGGATCACAGAGGTCGGCGACTCCCGCGATCTTAACAGAATGACGCCACCTCACCGGAGAGAAGAGGAGGAAGAACGACCAGGAATGGGAGTCAAGAGACGACCGCTGCTGACGAACCCGTCATGGGCGCACGACACCTGACTCCGGGTCGCACGCAGGTGATATCATTCATTATTACGCCCTTTTTGTTGTCGCAAGGTATTTCCTATCGCACCCTCTTCCAGGTACAAAGGCGGACCGAGAGTGGGAATAGCATGACGGGGGTGGCCACTCTACACCCCAAGGACGGCGAGAGCCCCGAATAGGCACTTCGAGATCACGAGGCGGCCCGAAAAGGATCCTGTGGCCTTTTGAATTTCGCGCGCCAGGACATGCGATACGGGCATGACGCGGTTCCCGCGATTAGAGCCGCGGAGTCACGCTCCAATCAGGCGCGATAAGGCCCCCTCGCGGGGATAACGAGCCCTGCGTGCCCCCGGGAGAATTAGCGCCTGGCACTTGTGCTGTGACCCGCTTGGCGAAAGCACGTGAGAGGACATAAAAGAAACAAAAGCCTTCCAAGGTCGACCCGGACGAGCACCTGCGGGGAAGTCACGGTGAGATGAGCGTCACAACTGTACAGTCGCCGGTTTCCACATCCGGGAGGCGTAGTCTTATCGGAATTCTGTCGGGTGTATGATAGTGAGTGCACGTGGCATTGCCGTGCGGTAGATTTTCGATTCAAATACGCGTGTCGCCTCCCGGAACGGCCCTTATCGTTAGGATAATCCTACTGCGTCCGCTAAGGCCACAGCTTCGTCACTCGTTGTAGATTTTTATTGCGGATCACATGTTGCGTCGAAGTTCCGTACCATAATATTGTCGCGTATCGTGTCGTCTCGAACGCCTGTAGCGTAAGATTTGCATGTCTATTAGGCCGTCGGCCCTCTGTGTCATAGCCATTAACGACAATTTATAATAGCAATTAGTAATTGTGCGTCTTCTGTCGTATCGAGACTGCGTAGTGTCGAGTTTGCACGTATTCGAGCCTTCTCTGCATCTCAACTGAGCGGCGCGAAGCCCCGCGAGCGCGCACGAGGTCATGCCGTGTTCACGCTACAATCGTTGCCGAATTCCCTAGTAGTTTCGAGGCGACGAAGCCTTGTTCGTATAATTCGCGAGAGTATCCCTGTGTGGCGTGAGCTCGTGTCGCGGGAATCTAACGAAGTTGAACGTTTACGCCTAGCGTAAAACCTCGGGGCCTGCGTGAGTTATCGTGCTCAAGTAGAGCTTATCGTCTCGATTGTGTCGCCAAATGTAAATGCAAGTTGAGGACTTATTTAATATATTTGTTACTTTTGCTATTGTTGCTTCGTGTGTACTTTATTCTCATCCTTATCTTCGTTCCTCCAAATAATCCGCTATCCTCGACCGCGAACCGCCCCCCTCTGCCATTTCCGAGGCTGAGCTACCGGTTGAAAGCCCATCGACATTCACAGCTCATTAGAACGTGGCATAAAGGAAATATCGCGTAATTTCGAGAAAGAATGGCACGCTCGCTCGTGCCTGGCGCCCAACTATTATTTTGTGATGGCGTGTCGCCCTTAAGAGCGGCCGCGGGAAGACGCATTTCTGTCGCGTTTCGTAACGCCACCCGTCACCCGATCGCCTACGAAAATCTTAGCTGTGAATGTACGACGAAGTTGCGCTACGCTCGTGAGTGCGATTGCAGTATTATATGTATTATATGTAGTATATATTGCTATTATATATTACTATTGTAATTTACACTTTTTTACATTTATACAAGTATTATTACTATTTTTTATGTATTACGATTATTATACTTTCATATAATACATATGTTTTTAACATTTATATATTGTATGTATTATATGCTAATATTCTAATTTACACTTTATATGTCTCATGTTTTTATCATTTATGCGTATCACTACTGTGTATTTCTATTCTTTTGATTTACACTTTACGTATATTTTTTTTTTACATGTATATAAGTATTACTATTATGTATTACTACATATGTATGTATTCTACTCCATACATAAATTGTTAAAAATAATTATACATTTTGTATACTCCAAAACGAAGATGATGATGATGAATGGGGAGTAATAAAAAAAAATATGTTTATATACTTAACTATAAATAAAAAGAACAAAGAGCTACGAGTCTAAAACAATCAACATAAAATAACAATCTGCATTAAATAGTTAAAAAATGAAATAAAACATGTCATGAAATTAAAAAACGTAAAATATAATTTAACAGTCAGCAAGTGAACAAAAACAAATGTTTCGATCTCTGTTGGATCATTTTCAATGTGACGACAAGATAATAATAGAAATATAACGTAGATAAAATATATAGAAATTAAATAAAATTCGCATTCAGACGCAATATTAACTATAAAACTTGCTCCAAATTGAAAGAAAACCAAACAAACGATTGTAGTTGACACCAATGGTTTCCTCCGAACTGTGTGTGTGCATAAGGACGAACATGTTTCTGTTAGCAAGTACAAATTGTAATAATAAATTAACGACAGGAATAAATAAAAATAATAAGAAATAATAAGAAAATACAAATTGAGTCGCAAATAATAAAAAGAAAGGTACAAAACAAGTCGCAAGTAATAAAATTAAAATTAAAAGAAAGAGGCAAAAATTATTTTTGATGTTATAAGACATGTACAGAGTTATTAATATCGATAGAGAAAGAGTAAAATGCCATCATTCATTGTATATGAGTTATATGTATAATGAGTTTAGTACAGATAAATTTAGAATAAATACCTTATTATGTGTGTCAAAATGATATGTTATCGATTAGACAATGCGATGGGAATCAAAATTGATCATCTCTCTAGGAAGCTAAGAGATAAAATAAAGTACAACATATAAAGACAGGAAGGTTGAAATGGTAAACTAAAAAAGAAGGGGAACATAAGAAGGAGAAAATAAAGTAGAGGGGAGAGAAAGTGGGGAAAGAAGAGATGGATAGGAAAAGAAAGCAGTTAAGAAGGAGAAAGAGATTGAATGATCTGTAAGTAGGTTTCAGGTAAAGATTCGGTATCATTTTGTCTATTAAGATCCTGTTTCTGTTTTAATATGAATTGACACCAATCTCTTATTATAAGAAGATTCGCAGTCTAAAATTTTCACATCGTTCCATTTAAAATTATAATCAAAATTAATTCGATGATCAGTTATAACAGTAGGAGAACCCTATTCTTTCTAATATCAGAGATATGTTCGCGTAGTCTCATACTCAATTTTCTTTTTGTCTGACCAACATAACTCGCCTCACAATCATCACAGGAGATCTTATAAACAACATTCTGATTGGATAGGAAATCAAGCTTATTTTTCCTCTCTTTATAAAGCTTTTTAATGTGTTGGGAATAGAAAAGACTAATTTATAATGAAACATACTAGAGATAGGAAGGAAATTTTCAGAAATAGATTTGACATAAGGAATCGTAAAATATTTCTTTCTTACGTAAATAATGTGTAATATTTTTATTATGTATATGAAACTTTAATCTACGTTCAATTGTAGAGAAAATAAAGGGAAGAGGATAACAGTTGTTTAAAAAAGTATGAATAGCCTCTATCAAATTTTTTTGTTGAAACCGTCTACGTTACATTTCTATTATTATCTTGTCGTTACATTGAAAATGATCCAATAGGGATCGAAATGTTTGTTTCTGTTTACTTGCTGACTGTCAAATTATATTTTACGTTTTTTAATTTCATGACATGTTTTATTTCATTTTTTAATTATTTAATGCAGATTTATATTTTATGTTGATTGTTTTAGGTTCGTAGCCCTTTGTTCTTTTTATTTTAATTTTTTGAGCCTTATTATTTTTATATAATAATTATATACTTATATTGATATATTTATATATTTTTATATGTATAAAAAAATACACGAAAAATTTTATCAAATGACATTGTTTTTGTGTATCCATGAATTGTGCGATCCATCGAATCCCAGCCATTTGACGTACACCTTATTTCTCTTCCTGTGCAGTACTTTCTCCACGAGATACACGTCCGGATGAGTATCGCGATGCAACTCGTGTTCGTAGAACGCACCAGCGGATTTTCCGTGATAGTCTTCGAGTAGATAGGTTACGGGATTGGCACGCTGCAACGATCATAAATACCTCGGTGGTCCAATTTGGCGTATAACCTTTCTCAAAAATCGTCTTATACTTGCTCACGCGTATCGAATCATCCACTTTGAATTTTGCTGGACCAGCGATTTTTATCACGCTGTATACCGTGTCCAAGAGTCTTTTGGCGATCGCGGGAGTTACGTCGGCGGGCCGCATGCCGATAGTGCGATGTTTGCATGCATTGTAATCTGATACGAGACGCGGCAGCTCATCGACCCACTTTCGTTCACCTGGTAATTGCCGAGGAGTGTAAACATCTTCCACATGTCGTTTTTGAGTGTGCGATTAAACCGCTCGACTACCGACGCTTTCAACGTCGAATACGTGGAATAGTGATTAACGTCGTGTTTTTTCAAGATTTTTTGCACATCAGCGTTGTAAAACTCCTTCCTCATATCCGTTTGTAAATTTTTAGGACATCTTCCACTTACTCGAATTATCTCAACAACTATAGCATCAGCCGTCTCGCTTCCACCCTTGCTCTTCAACGGTCTGGCCCACGCGCTCAACTCATCGATGATGGTGAGTATGTAGTAGCCTCTGTTGAAGCTCGAATACGGACGTATCTCGACGATATCAGCCTGCCATAGATCGTCATATCCTCGAACTATGACGCGTCTTCGTGGAAAATTTCTTCTCGCTGGAGCGTGCAATTCCTCGACGTCTCTCGGAGTTAATTTTTCTCTTTTCGCTGGATCTCTTTTTCATGATTCGACGCGTATACAAAGGACAAAAGTATTTTTTTCTCACTGACGCCACTCGACTGACTCGTTTCGTCGATACGCGATTTAATTTATAATAAGACCGACTCTTCGATAATCGACAGCATCTCGTTGTCATGAGCGTTGTTGCCCGCTCGGTACGAAGCGTCGAGCAACCGTAGACGATTCATCAGCTCGTTGGATGTCCCAGTGCACATAATCGATCGCGTTATCGTTCAATGTCATTGCGTGAGGTATTCCTTTCCAGATTTCTTCTTCTGTTTCTTGGGTGTGATCGACATCAACGGCGCGATTACTATTTGTACTTGTATCCTCTATTGCTCAATAATCGGCCCTGCGAAAGATGCTTGTATTTGTGCGCAGTCGTCGCCAGTAGCATGCTCTTGTTTGTTCATATCGTCTTCCGTATAGAGGAGATCATCGAAAATTCTCTTGAAAATTAACTTGTAAAGATTGGGTGTACCGGCGTATCGTACGCCGTCGATAATTACGTTGTCCACATCATCCACGTCGAAACGTTTACCACGTTTGCCAAACATCAATTCATCCTTATGTAGGTACACATAATCTATATCACTCTTCTGTTTATCTCGCACTCCCCTCAGGACAGCCTCGACGTATTTTTGACCCAGTGGGCCCAAGCCGACTTGCAACACCTCTCGACCTTCCGACGTTTGCAACCGATTTTGAACCTTTGTTGCTAGCGAGCCGTCGTTTCGAAAACGTTATCCAACGATTCTATCGTCAGTACGATCATCGTATGCGGAGTGGAGGTTATCAGCAGTACACAATCGTGCGATCGATTATCGGATTTATGCGGAGTCGCGAAACGCTCGAACGCGTCTTATTCGCTTTCTCTCCCTCTTCCTCCTCCTCTTCCTGCTCCTCCTCTTCTTCTTCCTTCCTTTCACGCATGGAGGCAGACGCTGCGTTATCGTTGCGTGATTATCTCTTTATCACGTGCATACCAGGGCTGTCAACGATCTGTCCCAGCAGTTTGATAATAGGCTTAAAATGTCTGTCCTCCTCGGTTTTCAGAGCACGATATTTCTTGTGGATCGACTCGCTCGTTTTCTCGATCTCTCTCAATTTTTTCACGCTCGCGCACATCAGCCATGTTCGTCTTTGGCGAAGTATCGACAACGACTAGTCACGTTACAGTATCGCGAACTCCTTAAATCCCTTTCTGTATCTCCCGTCTTTAAGTGCACTATCCTTGTCTATTACTAAAAATCTATATTTTTTTTGCCAACAGTCACGGTACAACGCACAAAATTAGTCGTAGGACATGCCGGTGTTCACGTGATCATTGTAAACGTGTTTCAAGTTGGTACAATCCTGTTTGAATAGGATCAGCAGGTTCGCGTTGTCGCGTATCAGATGTTTAGATATTTTCGCGTACGTCTGACAGAGATAGAAACAGTCAATATTCGTGGCGACCTATCGAAAAGTAGTATTCTCTCACCGCATCCTGCTTGTCGCATGCCACGTTATCAAAAATAAAAATAGAATTTGGGCGCGCCTCGTTCGTGAAGCGATGTCGCTGTTGTTGGAAAACGTAAAGTAGCCGATTTCATCGATAGACGTAAATAAATTTTCGAGATATCGATACTTTGGCCGTTGCAGTGATTTCGAGTAGACGTACACGTTCTCGAAACGTACGCCGTTTGGCCTCTGGAGCAAACTTATGAGAACGTTGGTTTTACCACAATTCGACTGCAAATGATCGCGCGTATAGTATTCGGCAGCATTTCGCCGTGCTTATTCGCTCGTGCATTTCGCTTCTCCGCATTGCCTCCCATCATTTGTAATTTCGCGTCACAGTTTGTGACATGTATCGTCAGCGGTTGCAACATGAATTTCATGTTCACACTAAAGGCCACGCGCTCTCGAACGATTATTTAAAGGCGCACGAATCTGCGAATCGCGCAGTAGCAAAATGTACGCACTGTGTCATCTTTCCGATATTCGAGACTTGAGCGCCGAGCAGTTGCAATATATACCGAAGATATATATATATACTCGTACTCTTACGTGTGTACGGTGAATACATCGAACATGTTTGGGACAAGCTTTCGGAACACGTGAAGGCAGATTTGGAGGTTCGAACTTATCGTCGCTGCAACGAACACTACAATCAGCCGTGGCAGCGAACGCATATCGACGGCTTCATAAAGGATAAAGGACTGTAGCGAATGTCAGCTGCGATCTGCTAAATCGAGCGATAAACACGCCTCTTTTCGAGTTACATATTTCGGGTTATCAGTTTTGCGATTCGGGCACTCGGTTTACGAAGCGATTAGCCAGAGATGACGCGGGCATAAATCCGCTGGACGCGGCGTGCCGAGAATATGACATTGCGTATTCTCGGAACAATGATCTCACCGATAGACACACAGCGGACAAGGTACTCGCCGATAAAGCGCTAGGATGCGTTGTCACGAGAGATTCGGCTCTGAGCGAGAGAGCCGCCGCAGCTGCCGTCTGGGCAACGATGAAAGCCAAGATCAAGATCGGCATGGGCATGAAACCGAAGAAGAAGACGACAAAGAAAAAGACGACGAAAAAGCGGATACTTCCGACGGCGAAACGAGGCGGTGCGTTACCGTTTCTGTCAATGTTGGACGCACTCGGGTCCTTAATCAGCGGAGCGGCCAGCGTGGCGAAAGCGGTAAACGATAGCAAAGCCGCGTGACGTTAGCTCGAAGAATTGCAACGTCACGATCGCGTGATGGAACAGGGTCGCGGATTGTATCTCGCTCCGTACAAATATGGACGCGGACTATATCTCGGCCCAAACGTGGACAGGGTATAGTTGCAAAGAAAAAAAAACATCAAAAAATCGATAAAAATGCCATCTGACGCAACTATTCAATGTACAATTGAACGTGCTCGCGAGACGTACCATACTTTAGAAGCGTTTTCATGCGTAACACGTTATCGACGAGCGGCGTGCGCCGAAACGAAAGCGGCATCGTGAATCTGAACGATGCGACGGGGCCTGATACTCACTGGGTAGCGGACGCGAAGAACAACCGGGGCGTGTACTTTGACAGTTTCGGTAATCTTCGTCTAAGGAACTGATGCGATATTTCGAGAACGGTGCTACGACGATAGAGTACAATCGCATGTCCTATCAGACGTACGATCAGAATTTCTGCGGACAGATGTGTCTGCGGTTTCTGCAAACGGTAGACGCACGTGAATTTAAAAAGCTCGACAAGGTGCTGTAAAATCTTAGTATTAGTCGAATGCTTTTTCCGTCATGTCGTTGACGCTTACGCTGAGCGGAAAGAGCACCGTCCTCGCGGCGAATTACTTCCCCGTCATAGATTTGAGTGACGAAGATTACGAGCTCGGTCTGGCGATTTTTGCGACTTCACACGATATCGAACGTGAATGAATCGAACAAAAAACAAATTTTATTTCATCAAAGACGACGCGAAAATTACAATTCCCGAGGGTTCGTACGAAGTGCGAGACATAAATGAATTTCTGAAACGCACGATTTTACAAACGTCCGCACCGCGACGCACTCGAAACCGTTGATGTAGTGGGTGATGACAATGACAATGACACTGATGATGATGATAATGGTGAGGGTGGAGAATACCCGATTACGCTCCGCGCAAACTACAACATGATGAGATGTGAGATTAGATGTGCGTACAGAATAAACTTTGACAAGTCCAACAGCATTGGATCGCTGCTAGAATTCTCGTCGAAATGTATACTGCAGTTGCGAAGGTGACACGAATCGGACGTGTCGATCAACATAATGAATGTAAACGTTATCCGCGTAGAGTATAACGTGACTGCGACAACGACAGCGAGCATGAGATGAATCGTATTGAACGGAGCGGAGCGCACGCAGAGAGATAACGCATTCTTTACAAGGCTGGTAACCGCTCGATAACGCTCGCTCATCCAACTGCGTCAGCAAGAAGAAGCTTAGTGCGTCGAACGTTAAATTTTTACAATCTTTGGGATTCGTGGTGCGCAACTTTTAAGATGACTGATATCTTAAACATTAAAGACGAGCCGATCTTCGATCGCATCGTCAAGATTGAGACTCACACGTACAACCCGTTCGCTAACACAACGTTTGAGTACAGCGACGAAATAAGAATACCCATACAGCAACAGGATCTGTACACATTGCCGTATGAAAGCTTTCTATATGTCGCGGGACAACTGACGAAGA